AGGTGACCGCCTCCGACCACGGCTCCCCGCGCCGCCGCTCAGCCACCACCTATCTGACCGTGACCGTGAGCGACACCAACGACCACGAGCCGGTGTTCGAGCAGCCCGAGTACCGGGAGAGCATCCGCGAGAACCTGGAGGTGGGTTACGAGGTGCTGACCATCCGCGCCACCGACGGCGATGCCCCAGCCAACGCCAACATGCTTTACCGCCTGCTGGAGCCGGGAGCTGGCGACGGCGTCTTCGAGATCGACCCGCGCTCCGGGGTCGTGAGGACCCGAGCCCCGGTGGACCGCGAGGAGGTCTCCGAGTACCACCTGGTGGTGGAAGCCAACGACCAGGGCAAGGATCCAGGACCCCGCAGCGCCACGGCTATGGTGCACATCACCGTCGAGGATGAGAACGACAACTACCCTCAGTTCAGCGAGAAACGCTACCTGGTCCAGGTGCCAGAGGATGCCCCCGTGAACAGCCAGATCCTGCAGGTGCAGGCCACGGATCGGGACCGGGGCAGCAATGCCCAGGTGCACTACAGCATCGTGAGTGGCAACCTGAAAGGCCAGTTCTACATCCACTCCTTCTCCGGTGCCATCGACCTGATCAACCCTCTGGATTATGAGACTCTTCGGGAGTACACGCTCCGGATCAAAGCCCAGGACGGGGGCAGGCCTCCCTTGATCAACTCCAGCGGCATGGTGTCGGTGCAGGTCGTGGACGTGAATGACAACGCCCCCATCTTTGTGAGCACTCCCTTTCAGGCCACGGTGCTGGAGAACGTTCCTCTGGGCTACTCGGTGCTGCACATCCAGGCCGTGGACGCTGACTCCGGGGAGAACGCCCGCCTGGAGTACAAACTCATAGAGATGGCACCCTCCGCCGGAGGTGCCCCTGCAGCAGGTGACTCGGGGTTCCCTTTTCAGATCAACAATAGCACGGGGTGGATCACGGTGGCTGCAGAGCTGGACCGAGAGACTGTGGAGAACTATCACTTTGGGGTGGAAGCCAGGGACCATGGCGTGCCGGTCATGACCTCCTCAGCCAGCGTGTCCATCACTGTCCTGGACGTCAATGACAACAACCCCACCTTCACGGAGAAGGTGTATCACCTCAGACTGAACGAGGACGCGGCTGTGGGCAGCAGTGTCCTGACCCTGACAGCAGTGGACAGGGACGTGAACAGCGTTGTGACTTACCAGATCACCAGTGGCAACACCAGGAACCGTTTTGCCATCACCAGTCAGAGCGGAGGGGGGCTGATCACGCTGGCCTTGCCCCTGGATTACAAGCAGGAAAGGCAGTATGTGCTCACAGTCACCGCCTCTGACGGCACTCGCTTTGACACCGTCCAGGTCTTCATCAACGTCACGGATGCCAACACACACCGCCCGGTCTTCCAGAGCTCCCACTACACAGTGAGCGTCAGCGAGGACAAGCCCATCGGCACCTCCATTGTCACCATCAGTGCCACCGATGAAGACACGGGGGAGAACGCGAGAATCACTTACATTTTGGACGATAACATCCCCCAGTTCCGCATCGACCCTGACACAGGCACCATCACCACCCTGATGGAGCTGGACTATGAGGACCAGGCCTCCTACACGTTGGCCATTACAGCCCATGACAATGGCATCCCCCAGAAATCGGACACCACCTACGTCGAGATCCTCATCCTGGATGCCAATGACAACGCGCCCCGCTTCCTGCGCGACCGCTACCAGGGCTCGGTTTTCGAGGATGTGCCGCTCTCCACCAGCGTCCTGCAGCTGTCTGCCACCGACCGCGACTCGGGCCTCAATGGCCGTCTCCTCTACACGTTCCAAGGTGGTGACGATGGAGACGGAGACTTCTACATCGAACCCACTTCTGGAGTGATACGCACACTGCGCAAGCTGGACCGCGAGAACGTGGCTGTCTACAGCCTGCGGGCCTTTGCTGTGGACAGGGGCAGCCCACCGCTGAAAGCCTCTGTGGATATCCAGGTGACTGTGCTGGACATCAACGACAACCCCCCTGTCTTTGAGAAGGATGAATTTGACATCTTTGTGGAGGAGAACAGCCCCGTGGGCTCTATTGTGGCACGGATCAGTGCAGCTGACCCCGATGAGGGGACCAATGCACAGATCATGTACCAGATCGTAGAGGGGAACATCCCTGAGGTCTTCCAGCTGGACTTGCTCAACGGAGACCTCACGGCCCTGATGGACCTGGATTATGAGAGCCGGACAGAGTACGTGATCGTGGTGCAGGCCACTTCTGCCCCTCTTGTGAGCCGGGCGACAGTGCACATCCGCCTCCTGGATCAGAACGATAACCCGCCCGTGCTGCAGGACTTCCAGATCCTTTTCAACAACTACGTGACCAACAAGTCTAACAGCTTCCCCTCTGGCGTGATTGGCAAGATCCCAGCTCATGATCCCGATGTGTCCGACAGCCTGGCCTACACCTTTGTGCAAGGCAATGAATTAAACTTGCTCCTTTTGGACTCTGCCACTGGGGAACTCAAACTCAGTCGCGATCTGGACAACAACAGACCCCTGGAAGCCCTCATGAAAGTGTCGGTCTCAGGTAAGCAAACGTTCGAGGCTCATAAAGCGCGTAATTCTGCTTCTCAGACCGGTATGGGGGCATGGGCAGAAATAACCCACTTGCAGTTTAGTGCGCAGCTTTCGGTTCCCTGAGGCAGCATTTTATCTGTGAAATTTTTGGAGAGGAACCGCAAAAATGTATCAAGCCCATGTGCTGTGGATTGAAGTGGTGCGTTGCAGTTGTTTAGTAAATAGGGATCACAAGGGTAAATAAATACGAGTGTGCGTGGAAGGTTATATATTCCCTCAGTTGAGGTGGTACCTTGGCTGAAGCTTTTCTGATGTGGTTGCATAAAAGTAATAAATGATGTAACTGGCAAAGATGTGGGGAATGCGCATGTAACGCTGTCTCCCCTCCCTGTTTTTTTCCCCTGTTTAAAAAAACAAGAAAAGTTGAGATTTTTTAGGAACAAAACGTGTTTATTTCCTTCCGCCCACTGGGAGATTTGGCTGGTATTTCCTTAGACCTCGGACCAGTTCTCTGCTGGTGTGGCCTGGGTGGATGTGACGCTGGCGGAGCTGCGCTGGTTTGCACTGCTGGCGCGTGTTCCTGCGGAAAATGGCAATGCTGAAAGCAATGAGTTACGGCTGTGTAATACCTGTGTAACGCTGCTAATTGCACTGGACTTGCTTTCGTAGAGCTAGGGGCAGATACTGGCCAAATACAGCCCCAAAATCAGCGCTGTTGCGGGGAGGGAGAGAAGGGGAGAGGGAGGAGTACCGTACCATTACCCTCCTCAGAGAATTTGTGTCTCTCTGTGTGTGAAGTCTGTTTGATAGCATCCAGGACATAACTGTTATATAAGCACATATGTGCTCTTAGGATATTATTCTTTTTCTGCTTGGTTGCTTGTTTATCATGGATTACTTTTTATGCCTTTAATTGTGGCATCAATCATGCAATGAGTAATTTCCTCTGCAGGTGCCACTCTATAAAGTTTACTGTGGACCTGATCCCATACTTCTGTTGACTTTCAGAGGTTTAACCAGATACGTTCTTCGTGGCCTCTCTCTGCAACCTAAAGCTAATATTTGTATTCTTTCTGCGAAAAATAGCTGAAAGTACTAGGTACATAAGACGACACTTTCAGAGATGCTTCATTTTGGGTGTTTGTATTAAAAAAAAAAAAAAATCAAACTGTGGCCTAATGCTGGCAGAGCTTGTTTTACTGTAAGTAGTCATGGCGTGTAGCAGGGCCTCGGGGGAGCAAGCCGTGCTCTCCCTTGTGTTTGCAGGCCTGAAGTCCTTTTTGCTGCAGGAAAATGAAAGTGATATTAACTGAACTGATTGAATTTACTGCAGTGTATCACCTGACAAGCCACTCCTGTTTCTTCCAAAATGCTGGGGGGCAGCTGATGTGGTAAGGTAGCTCATAAATGCCATTTCCACGTCCTGTGGGGACTTGCAGAAAAAACAGACAGTTGGCTTGTGACCTTAAAGAAGAGCATTTGGATTAAGGTGCAGGTGATTGCGTGGTCATTGTCTGTCTGAACCAGTAGCTCTTTATCTAGTAGCAGAAGATAAGAACTCAACTTGGAGCAAGTAGCTTGGAAAAGACGTTTAGTTAGACTAGATGAGGAGAGCGTTCAGAACAGAAAAATAGATGACATGAACTAGTCCTTTCTCAATCGAATGATTTCCACAGTTTAAGTGAATGAAATCTCAGGTAGGAATGGAGACCTCTGTTTTCTTAAGTAACAAGAGCGTGATCCTTCCAGCATTGTTTCCATGTTTGCTGAAAGTGTGAACTTTGAAACTCTGCTGTGATGTTGATCAAAACTGGCTGTCCGCTGCATGTCTTGAGATATTTGAAAGATTAAAGCTTTTTATGGGTAGGATTTTAAAATAATTTTGACAAGCACTGAACTGCATTTGACGTTAATTTGGAGAAGTCTGCTGTTTGGAAATTGAAAGGGCCGAGTTTGGCAGCGTGTGATTGTGTCCAGGAAAGTCTCACCTGCCTGCTTTCTCGGGTTTATCTGATGAAGTCTTTAAAAAAAAGACAGAGAAGAAGCTCAGGCAGAAGTACTCCACAGGGTTATCTCTAAGTGTTGCAAATCATCTGCTAAAATGACCTGCCAGTTAACTGAAAAACGTGTCTATGGAGTAGCCATTAACCTCTCAACCCAGACAAACACAAAGTCCTGCCCTACTCACAGCTGTTCTTCAGGTCAGGGAAGGATTGGAGCTCTTTATGAACTTGAGGAATTTGATCTATATATGAGTCGGAAGTAACACTGCTGCTATAAAAATCTTATTTCTGTCTAGTGATGTGTTGTGCTGTGGAGGCATGTGAGCACGTGTGAAGCTAGTGAGGAGCCGCGCTACTCCATTACGTTAGTTTAAGGCTTTGATACTTGGCTAAAAGCAGCATTTTTTCGTTTGATTTGGGGATTATTCAAATAAGCACAGTAATTTTGGCCTTCTGCGTATAAACGAAGCCTTGAGAGTCATGAAAACCAAGCAAAGAAAGATAACAGATTTTGTAAAACCTGAGAACAGCACGCTCGGCGTTCAGAACTTACCCTAACAGTGCAAACATGGTCAGAAGCTACGTGGGACGGTGGGCAGCCCTGGGCAGGCTCGGTGCGTGCGTGGCTCTGCCTTCGCCCTGGTGCCGCGGTACCTGCTCGGCTGTGCCCCCGCAGCCGGTAAGGAACCCACCCAAGCCGAGGAGGGAAGAATGTGGGTGGTGTGGATATTAGCATTTTGCTTTGGATCGGGAGGGAGCTTTTGAAGTCAATCTCTTTTGAAGTGAATCTCTCTGGGTGCCCTTCTGCCCATGCCTGTTGCAGGGAGCTGTCTGAGTGAACAAACTGGACCCCTTTTGAGTGAAACTAATCCAGGTGTGCTGCAGGGGTGCCCCAAGGAGTCCCTTAAAAAGACACATTCTCCTTTTTCCATTCTACCTTCAAGACTTTCCTACAGAAAAGCAGAGCTTGGTTTTATATTCCCATGCCTGCACATCGCATCATTAGGTTTATGTTGTTTTAACAACTGGGGTGAAGCCTGGACCCTGCTGAAATCCTGCCCTTGCTTTCCAGGGGGTCAGAATTTTACTCTGGGCTTCTGAAACAGGTGGTCAAGTGTTGATCAGTTTGTGATTTCTTAGTGTTATTACTAAATATATGGCTTAAATTGACAGGTTCATTAAAAAATTATTTTTTGTCCACAGTGATGTTGACTGTAACATCAAATTAGGATTTATCTGGTCAAAAAAAGGGTTAAACGTTGCTCAAGTCACATTGCATTCTCCCATGTTAAACATTATACCGGGGTCCCCGCTGGTGCTGGGGGGGAAGGCTGGTGCTAGCTTCAACTTCGCACAAACGTTGCACAAGTTTGCCTGGGTATCACATTGCAACGCTGCTGGCACCTGCTCGGCTGTGCTGCCACAAGTAGTCCCACTTATCATCAACGACAGCTCGCTGGGACGCAATAGATGTGTGCGCAGACTCCTTTGGGAACCCAGCCTAATTCACCAGTGCCGACAAACCCCAACCTGGCTGTATGCTACAGCTTTCGAGTGGACCAGATAAATGCAAACTATGATGGTATAACATAGAATTTTGGGAAGGTAGTGCTCCTCAGGAGAGCTGGTTTCCACAGTGAGGGATAGACACCCAAGCATTTTTGAGAGCGTGCAAGCTTAAGTATCGCCTTTTGCATTTCTTTGGCTTTTAATCTCCAGTGGCATTTAGTGACGTTATTGACTATCAGCAAATACAAATTGAGATAGAGCTCATTTGTGCTGCAGTAAACTTGGGATTTTTACTCAAACCTTGTTAAAGGATCTTCGTTGTTATTGTAATTTAAAAGTCATTATGCTAATGGTCCTGGATCTCCAGCTCTGTGCCTTCTCCATACAAATGTAACAGAAGATGGAATACTTTGGTTTAGCCTTTCTAATAGAAGGGTAAGGCCACAGCTGTGCCTGAGATGCAAGGCATTGGGGGGTTATCTCTGTGTGTGTGTGTGTGAAGAAGATTTGCGGTTAAAGGGAAAAAAGACATTGGAGGGAAAAGCATCTCCGTAAGCACAGGGGCCCTTTGGGCACGGAGGGTGAGTGCGGGGCGACTGCTTGGGATGCGGGCCGGGCACCTCGGCAGCGTTGCGGTGCGCCCTGGCCTTGTGCCCCCGCCTTTGGGGAGCGGGGCGGATGGGGCTGCTGGGGCCTTGTGAGTTTTGGGGGGGGCAGATCTGCAGGGCAACCGGTTCTTTTGGGGGCGATGCTTCTGGTTGCTTGCAAAGACTTGTTTTCAGGGTCAGCGAGGGGCAGTTAGCACCAGAACTGCTCTCTGTGGCCCCCTCCCAAGGGAAATACATTCCTGCACATGGCTGTGGTGGGATCCCTGTGGGTTATACAATTAGGAGTGGGTTATGCAATTAGGAGAGGATGGAAACGGCCAGGCGGAGGCTTCTCTCTCCCTCCTTCCAGGTGGGAGGAGGTGTGTCCATGTGTCGTGTGGCTGCAGGGCTTTTGCACGCTCGTGTTCCCGGGGACTTTGGGCTCTTGCACTTCATGCGTGCATCCTGCACTACTAGGAGAGAAAGCAGCAGCTCAAAGGTTGCAAAGACCAGGGAGGCAACGACGAGGGGCGTCCTTTAGAAAGATGGTGTGATACTGCGAGCTGCGGGACTGCAGCCCGGGTTGTTACTTGGTGTACTAAGTGGAGCTGAAGTGAAGGATGACCCATAATGGTTAGTAGCAGTGGTTTTGAACAGTTATGTTTATTTTCCTAAAATAGCAAAGCAAGAATAGTGCCCATCATTTTAAAGTTAGGGTAGCTCCTGGATCTGCTGAGGCTACCTAAATCCTTTATTGCATCCATATAGGTTCTATATTCTATGCTACTCCATAGGTGAGATGCATTTTAGATGCGTGTCCCTCCAGCCTGCAGGAATTTGACTTGCCCTCTTCAGCTGTATGATCTGTTCCAGCTGACAAAAACCTGTGGCTGCCTTTTTGCTTTTGTATGTGCTTCCTTCCCCTTCATCCCTGGATTTCATAGGAGTGGTGTATTTTTGTTTCAAAAGACAGGAAAACGTCTATGGCTACAAGAGGAAAATATTTAGTGGAAGGCTGACTGAC